CTTCCCACGGAAGCAACCCCCCCCACCAAGAGGGGGGAGGCCAGAGACCCCCTCCCCCTATTCCCCCCCCCCCACCTGGAAGAGCTGCTGCTGTAGCAAAGGCTGGGCCACCGCCACGATGCCCTGGTTATAGCTGGAGACCCGGGTGGCCGTCAAGTTCCCGTTGGACAGGAGGATGTTCTTCCCGTGGTTTTCCAGGAACTCCATGGAGGGCGCCACCGAGGGCAGCTCGTTCTCGCCCTGGAGGAGACGAGGACGAGAGTCAGAAGGGGACCCTTGGGGGTCCTCTAGTCCAGCCCCCCCTGCACAGGCAGGAGACCCTAAACCCGGGATGGCGAACTTGTGGCGAACTTGTTCAGCCTTTTTTAAAGACATTTTCCCCCCTCCCCAGGCTCCAGAGGCTTTATAGGAGCCTGGGGAGGGCGAAAAGAGCCCCCCCCATTGAGGTCCCCCCCAGAGGCTTCAGGGGGTTCCCTGAAGGCTCCGGAGCGCAAAAAACCGGCCCTCTGAACCAGTGGTGGGATTCAAATAATTGAACAACCGGTTCTCTGCCCTAATGATTTCTTCCAACAACCAGTTCACCAAACTGCTTAGAAAGTTGCCAACCGGTTCTCACGGACCGGGACGAACCGGCTGAATCCCACCACTGCTATGAGCAAACCGGGACTTCCGGCTTGCTCGTAGGGTCGTTTTTTGCCCCTCCGGAGGCTTCCGGTTCGCCGTCACTGTCCTAAACCGTTCCAGGCAAACCTGCCTCCCTCTCTTCCCCCAAAGCTTCCAATCAGGAGGCACCTTCTGGTGGCCAGATGTTCCACCGGCTAACTGATCTGGGAGGATAGATTAGCAGAGCGGGAAGGGACCTTGGAGGTCTTCCGGTCCAGGCGCCTGTTCAACCAGGAAGACCCCTAGGCCACTGGGGGGGCAGACCGGTGTCTGTGTTTATCAGTGGCAGGCACCCTCCGCAGAGGAGGTGGGGGCTCGCGCGCGCGCGCATAGCTTCATTGGTGTGAGCGGTGCGCGTACGCAGACCTCATGGGTGCAAGTCAGAGGGTTTCTGGAGCCTCGGGGGCGAAAACGGCCTCCCCGGGAGAAAATACCAAGCTCAGCTGGGAGGCAAGAAGTGTGGCACACATTGGGAGGGGGGGGTTGTGTGCCCATGGGCATGGGAGGGGGGACACGGTTTGCATTCTGGGTGCCGACACCCGTGTGGGCTATGGCATGCGTGCCCTGGCGTTTTGACACCCCCCCCCCCCTGCAAGAAAAGGGTCGGCGATCACTGTCGCAGAGGAAGAGGCAGGCGGCTGTAGCTGATGGGCTTCCCAGCCCCTCTTGGGCAGTGGAGCATGGGGAGGGAAAGGGGTGTGTGGTACGGACCGGGGTGGGCTCCTCCTCCTCCTCGCTGTAGGGCTCCGAGGCGACCGAGGGGGGGTGGGTGCCCTCGGCCTCTTCCAGGAGGGTGGAGCTGACGATGGAGACGGAGGTGACCCGGCCGTAGAGATCGAGGACCACAAAGACGTTCTGGACACAGGAGGAGAGAGAGAGAGAGTGTGAGGGTCAAGGGGGTCTCTCCTCTGTTATCCCTCCCTCTTCCCCCCTTTCTCTTCCTCCCTCCCTCTTCTTTCTTTCCTTCCTTCCTTAATCTATTTTCTGAGCACGGAGAGAAAGAAAAGAGCCAGGAAGGCGTTTCGTGATGGAATCGCTTTCAACCTTGTTCATCCCTTCTCTTAACCATCAACTAGTTTCCTTCTTTCCGTTTCGTTTCCTTTTCCTTCTTCTATCTTTTCTTTCCTTCCCTCCATCTTTCTTTCTCATCTTTTTTCCTGCCTGCCTTCCTTCCTTTCATTTTCTTTCCTTCTTCTTCCTTCCTTCCTATCTTATCTTCCTTCCGTTTCTTTTCCTTCTCTTCCTTTTATTTTTCTATCTTTTTCTTTCTTTCCTTCCTTCCATCTTTCTTTTCTTCCTTTTCTTCTCTTCCTTTTATTTTTCTATCTTTTTCTTTCTTTCCTTCCTTCCATCTTTCTTTTTCNTTCTTTCTTTCTTTCTTTCTTTCTTTCTTTCTTTTTTTCTTTCTTTCTTTTCTTTTCTTTTCTCTCTCTCTCCCTCCCTCCCTTCCTGAAATGGTGTAAGGTTTATTGATGTAGGGCGGGGAGGGGTTGGACTAGATGACCTCCAAGGTCCCTTACAATTTTGTTATTCTTTTCTTCCTTCCTTCCTTCTTTCTTTCTCTCTCTCTTTCTTTTTCTTCTCTCTCTCTCTCTCTCTCTCTCTCTCCCTTCCTGAAATGTTATAAGGTTTATTGATGTAGGGCGGGGTGGGGTTGGACTACATGACCTCCAAGATCCCTTCCAACTCTTGTTATTCCCTTCCTTCCTTCCTTCCTTCCTTCCTTTCAGGAATGGGGTAGGGTCTCCTCCTTCGGCGGGGAAAGCTTGGACTAGATGACCCACGAGGTCCCTTCACTCCCCCCCCCAGACTCACCGTCCACCATGTCAGCCTTCTCCATGCCCCCCTGTCCTTGGGGGTCTGTGCCCTCCGCTCCCACCGCAGGCGTTTCATTGGTCAAGATGGTGACCTGGCAAAAAACGGGGTTGCCTCATTTAACGACTGTGACGAGGAAGGCCATTAAAACAGGAGGCCAAAAATCACTCCGCAAATCTCTCCCTTAGTCCAGGGAAATTTGGGGTGCCATTGGGGGTGGGGGTCGTACAGTCCAGGATTACCTCCCCTCTTCCTCCCTCCTCCTCTCCCTTTCTCTCCCTCCCTCCTTCCCTTTTCTTCCTTCCTCGCTTTTTCCTCCTTCCCTTCCTTCATTTCCTCCTTTCCCTTCCCTTCCTTCTTCTCTTACTTCCTTTCCCCTCTCTCTCCCTTCCTTTCTTCCCCCTCTGTCTCCTATCCCTTCCTTCCTTTCCTCCTTCTCTCCCTTCTTTTCTTCCTTCCTCCCTTTTTCCTCCTTTCCCTTCCCTTCCTTGCTTCCTTCCTCTCTCTCCCTCCCTCTCCTTCTATCCCTTCCTTTCTTCCCTTTTCTTCCTTCCTCCTTCCTCCTTTCCTCCTCCTTCCCTTCCTTCATTTCATCCTTTCCCTTCCCTTCCTTTTTTTGCTTCCTTCCTCTCTTTCTCTCCCTTCCTTCCTTCCCCCTCCTTCCCCTTCTATCCCTTCCTTTCCTTTCCTCCCTTTTCTTTCTTCCTCCTTCCTCCCCTTTTCCTCCTTCCCTTCCTTCATTTCATCCTTTCCTCCTTTTCCTTCCCTTCCTTCTTTTCTTGCTTCCCCCCTCTCTTCCTTCCTTCCCCCTCCTTCCCCTTCTATCTCTTCCTTCCTTTCCTCCCTTTTCTTTCTTCCTCCTTCCTCCCTTTTTCCTCCTTCCCTTCCTTCATTTCATCCTTTCCTCCTTTCCCTTCCCTTCCTTCTTTTCTTGCTTCCTCTCTCCCTCCCTTCCCCCTCCTTCTCCTTCTATCCCTCCCTTCTTTTCTTCCTTCCTCCTTCCTCCCTTTTTCCTCCTTCCCTTCCTTCATTTCATCCTTTCCTCCTTTCCCTTCCCTTCCTTCTTTTCTTGCTTCCTCTCTCCCTCCCTTCCCCCTCCTTCTCCTTCTATCCCTCCCTTCTTTTCTTCCTTCCTCCTTCCTCCCTTTTTCCTCCTTCCCTTCCTTCATTTCATCCTTTCCTTCTTTCCCTTTCTTCTTTTCTTCCTTCCTTCCTCTCTCTCTCCCTTCCTCCCTCCTTCTCCTTCTCTCCCTTCCTTCCTTTCCTCCCTTCTTTTCTTCCTTCCTCCTTCCTCCCTCCCTTCCCCCTCCTTCTCCTTCTATCCCTTCCTTCCTTTCCTCCCTTCTTTTCTTCCTTCCTCCTTCCTCCCTCCCTTCCCCCTCCTTCTCCTTCTATCCCTT